GCTGCAGTGGCGGCAGCTGCTGTAGCGGCAGCAGCGGGGCTGTGCCTTGAGGTGTTGAGGGCTTATAAGAGGTCAGTGGAGACGACCGGCTGGTCATCGGCGATGTAGCAAGAAAGGCGTCTTGGTGCTGCTGCTGCTGCTGCTGCTGCTGCTGCAGTGGCTGCAGTATTGGCTGCTGTTGCTGCTGCTGCTGCTGCAGCAGTGGCGGCAGTAGTGGCTGCTGCTGCTGATGCTGCTGCTGCATTGAATTTGGGTATGTCAGCTGGCGAGACAGGAGAGGGGGATGTAGCTGCTGCTGCCCCAATGGGCTCGTGCCGTGAGGTGCCGCCTGCTGCTGCAACGAATGCAGCAGCTGCTGCTGTTGCTGCTGCTGCTGCAGCTGAGGTAGCAGCTGCTGTTGCGACTGCAGGTGCTGCTGCAGCACTGCACTGGTGAGAGTCTGAGAGCGCGCCAGAGAAGCAGCAGATGCAGGCGACTGGGTACTCATCACAGACGGAGACATTAGGCTCTGCTGCTGCTGCTGCTGCTGCTGCTGCTGCTGCAGTGCTTGTGGGGTGTCGAAGACATCCAGCAGCGGCCTCTGCCCCATCGGCTGTAGTGTTTGCAAGCTGAGGCTGCTGATGCCGTCAGGAGTTGCTGCAGCTGAGTGCTGCAGCAACTCCTGCTGCTGCTGCTGCAGCATTTGCTGCTGCTGCTGCTGCAGCGGCTGCAGCGGCTGCAGCGGCTTTGGAGACAGAGCAGCAGGATCGAGAGGCGGAAGCTGCAGCGGCACAGCTGGCGGGGATGAAGCAACAGAGGCAGCAGAATAGAGGCGCGCCGGTGTGCTGCTGCAGCAAGAAGCAGCAGAAGCAGCAGCAGGACTCCTCGCAGCAGATGCTGCTGCTAGGCTATCTGCCCTTGCAGCAACTTCAGCTGCGCTGCGGGCTCTTGCTGCTGCTGCTGCTGCCCTCATCGCTCCATCAGCAGCAGCAGCAGCATGTCGACGCATTGCAGACAAAGCGGGAGAGACTGGGTAGCTGTTGCGCCTCACCGGGAGCTGCTGAGGGACAGCAGCAGCAGGTGTACAAGCAGCAGCAGCAGCAGCAGCAGCAGCAGAAACTGGGTCTGCTGCAGCCGGGCTCCATGCTCCAGCCGACGGGCGTATGCTTGTGCTGCTGCTGGCGCGGCTAAGCAGGCTCGTTAGACCTCCGTTGCTGTGCTCAAAGGGGCTTGCTGCTGCTGCTGCTGCTGCTGCTGCCGCTGCTGCTGCTGCTGCTGGAGGAGACGGATCGGAGAGAAAGCGACGCCGGGGCCGCTCCCATGGCTCCACGCCAGTAGAGCGAAATGGTGACGTTGCAACAGCGACAGGCGA